AAAAAAAAAAAAAAAGAATATGAGCCTCCTATCAGGTGTGGTTAGCAAGGCCCAGTTGTTACCCCAGGTGAAGTACCTGACCTCTGTAGCTGACATAGTTGGCATTCTTTTTTTAGAATTTGAGAACATATATTTTGTTTAAAAAAAATCTCTGATTTTTATTTCATGATAGTTTGTTCTTTCTTCCATGTGTGTTGTCATCACATAGTGTTCTAAACTTATTATAGGTGTTTTTTTTTTCTCGGTTAAAGTCACGTTTGGCTTTATTGCTTTTAGATCCTTCAGTGACTCTTGTCTGTGGCGTGATTTTCCTCGAATTCTGAGCACTTGGTTCTTTATTTAAGAGGCACTGCTGGCTTCACAGCTTCTTCAGGAGCCAGGCTCTCTTCTTACCCATCAGGTGTGCCTGGCCCCAAGCCTGGGCCCACGTCTGTGCCCACAGTGTCCACCTCCTCCTGGGAGGGGGTCGTGTCTCTACCTCTGTTGGAATGTATAGATGAGTTCAGGCCCCTCGACACTGTTGCCTCCAAGAAGAGATTGTTCAGCTCAGGCAGCACTGGAAATCTGTGTTCACATCTTGACGTTCTGGTTCCAGTTGTTGGAGCTGACAAGGATATAACTTTTGAGTAATCCAACTGTCAATTCCCATGTTATCTGAAAGATGACTTCATTTTTCAGTCGTTGTCTTAACCTAGAATCTGCTCTATCTCAGGAAAGCTGATTCTTACAATCATGCATGTATAAGTCTGTGTCAATTCTTGTGGTCACACTTTGCTTCAAATTCCAAGGACTTACCATCACTGCATATACTGCATTTGATTTGTCTCTTCGTTGTCATTTCCCACGAGAGTGTGAGATCAGGGGTCCTGGGAATTGAGTCCAGGTCCCTGACTCATCCTCCCACACACACTGCTGAAGCCGGGGCCTGACTGAAACGGAGTATGTGGGCTGTTTCAGGACTCGGTGGTCTTTGAAGATGTGGCTGTGGACTTCACCCCGGAGGAGTGGGCTTTGCTGGATGCTCCTCAGAGGAAGCTCTACAGAGATGTGATGCTGGAGACCTGCAGGAACCTGGCCTCAGTGGGTGAGGATGGCTTCATGCCTTCACTCAGTCTTTTATAGAAAAATATTTCTTAGGATTGTTCATTCTTATTGGGGTTGAGAAATGGGAATACGTTGAAAAAGAGAGAGACACTGTGCAAGCTTCATGGAACCATCTAGAGTCAAATAGCTTTTCCATGGAAACAAAGTTTGTGGTATTAAACAGATTTTTATTTCTGTTGAACAAAAGTTTCTCTCATTTTATAAGTGTGAGCTTCATCTCCAGTGTCACTTTGGGATAGTGAGAGCAGCTTTATGGTTTCCACTGTTGTGACAGACTGTGGTTAATACACAGTTGACATGGTAATTTTGCTACAATTAACTCCACACTTATCCCTCATCACTGGTCTTGAAGACAAAATATGGTGCAATCTCATGGAATGTTTGTTCCCCTCCATCCTCCCTCATGGTGAGCTCTTCTCCATGAGCCATCAGCAACTGCACACTGTCAATCTCCCCTGGCAGCTCAGGCCATGGAGAAAGTCTCCATGTAGGGCCTCTGTGCCTGTGAACACCAGGAGAGCAACCACCCTCGGGAGGAACAGGTTCTGGATGAGGGAATGATGTTGGGACGCGTCCATTAGAGACATGACACAGTCCCTGTTTGAGAGGGTGACGTGTCATTTACCTGCTTCCCTGTTGACTTTTCATCCATCCTCGCTCCCTGGGCAAGACATTCTGTATCTCCTCTTATAAAGGGAGCATTTTGGGGTATGCCTTTTGCCCAATTCCTTTCTCCTTTGCTTTTCTAATAATATTTATACCAATATGACTCTCCATCTCTTTTGAAGTATTTTTTTGTGAACAGGGCTGCAATTTGACTCATTTCCCTACTCTTGCCGAGGTCCCATATAGCTGAGGTTCTGAGAGTTTTTCTTTGCTCACATCTCCATTCTTCCTTATAAAATTTATTTACATTGTTGGATCAGTATTTTAAAGAAATCCACACGTTGTCAATTTTTTCTTTTTATCCCACCATTTGTTTCCCAAGAAATTAAATTATGCTACCAATTCTTGCAGATTGTTACACTCAAGTCAAAACCAGCAGATCAAGTCCTCAGCGGAGTATTTTGGAGAATAATATATTCAGTAAAGGGAACATAGTAACATTCACAAGAAGTGGTTCCTGGTCTGCTTTTGGAGAAAACCGGAAGTTTGAGAACGTTGGAGGTGTGCACCAAACCCAGGAGAGGCGTATGAGGTGAGTGGCATTCCCACAGTAGGAAGGGGGGGTCTCAGCAGAGTGTTATACTCTCTTGAAATTAAAGAAAAAGTAGAAACTATTCAAACAATTGTGGCCTCAGAGGACTTTCACAAGACAAGCTTTTGATAAGTGTGATGTACGTATTGAGCATCTGACAGAATTCATTTGTAAACAATGATCAGGAAAGCCCATATGTAGTAAACACTGAAAATTATGGTATATTTGATCTCTCAGCCGGAGCATTAAGCTTGTTCCACTTTGTAAGAATGAAGAAAGTGAAGAAAACACACCCACTCTTGGAAAATGGCAAATATGCAGTTAGAATAGTCATTGATGACCATTAAAAAATCTTTAATGAAGAAATTACTTATGATCAATCTCTAATGAATGGTGTGTTTACTATTTTGAGCAGCAGTCATTTGGTGGAGACTCTCAGTGAAAAGAATGAAGGTGGTCACTGTGGCGAAACCCTGGACCAGATTACAAATCTTCCTGTGCATGAGAGGTGTCTGACTGGAGTGAAACCTGATGAATGCATGAAGTGTGGAAAAGCCTTCGTGGGTTGTTCTCTCCCGAAGAATCCACAAGGATCTCACACTGGACACAAACCTTATCCATGTGAGGAATGTGGGCAGCCCTGCACTTGTGTCTCATGCCTGAGCCCTCACGTGGAAGCAGACGTTTTAGAGAAACCCTGTAAAAGACCTCAGTATACTGAGAGAGCATCTAGGAGAAATGTGAAGAGTCTTGGTAGTAAAAAGTGTTTTGAGTGTAAAAAATGTGGAAAAACTTTCACTTGCCCCTCGTCCTTACAGGAACATGAGAGACGTCACCATGGACAGAAGACCCATATGTGTAAATTATGTGGGAAATCCTTCATATGCCGTTCCCACCTTACACGACACGTGAGAACACACTCAGGAGCGAAATCCAGTGAATGTAAGGAATGTGGGAAAGTCTTCAGTTGTTACTCTTCCCTCCAGGGACACATGAGAACGCACACTGGAGAGAAACCCTATGAGTGTAAGCATCCTGGCAAAGCTTTCAGTTATCGCAAATCTTTGCAAGAACACAAAAGAGCGCACACTCGAGAGAAACCTCATGTCTGTGAGCGATGTGGGAAAGCCTTCAGTTGTCCCAGTAGCTTTAAAAGACACATTAAATCACACAGTGGAGAGAAGGCCTATGAATGTACAGAGTGTGGGAAAGCTTTCCATTTTTGCTCATCTCTTCGAATACCTGTCAGAACACGCAGTGAAGAGAAACCTTATGAATGTAAGGAGTGTGGGAAAGTCTTCAGTAGTTCCTCTTCCCTCCGAGAACAAGAGAGAACACACAATGGGGAGAGACTGTGTGAGTGTCAGCACTGTGGGAAAGTCTTCACCACTCACTCCTCGCTTCGAGGACATATGAGGATACACACTGGGGAGAAGCCCTATGAATGTCAGCACTGTGGGAAAGCCTTCCCCTATCGCTCCTCCCTTCGAGGACATGTGAGGATACACACTGGGGAGAAGCCCTATGAATGTCAGCACTGTGGGAAAGCCTTCACCTATCACTCCTCCCTTC